AACCCATATGGAGAATCATGAGAATATGAATTTCAAGATTTTGAAAATTACACTATATTTCAGTAGTATTCTATGGATGATATTTCGCTTCGAAATCAGTGTTATTTTATCTATTATTCTACCCTCGCCTTCAGGTGAAATATTCGAGTCTCAATATCTCAAGGCAGGAAAATTCATTAGGATCGAATTTTTTCCCACCGTACTACTATGATCATGGGCTACCAGTGTGGCAAGTTTCAAGTCAAAATTCAAGCTCTATAGGCAAAAACTGACTAAAAAATTCAATATCTCAGCAACAAAGCACCATGAGGATGAACCAACTTAGGGTATTTCACTACTCACTGAGGTCTACAAGATACAAGTAGTCCGAGTTCAAAAGTGATTTATAACCTCAAGAGGTTCCCTCGTAAGTTACGGAATTTTTAGTATTAGTAGGTTCCCTGGCACAGACAAAGAAAAAAGTTCATAACTTTTGAAATAAGTACCATGTCTTTTAGGGCTTTTCCTAGTTCACTATCCTCTATCGATCGGCACATAAATAATTGGAAACGGAGTGTTACATCTGAGGAGATCCATCGTTAGTACGGCTCACAGTATTCGAAATTTTTAAAATTCTAGTTTCAGATAATGGCTAGTCAAAGGATGTCTTATTACATTTGAAAGTATTGGTTCCTTTTTTGGCCAATCATATGTGTCACAAAATGAGCACGTAGAAGGGATCCTTCCGTCCGGGATAGTTGTTTTGGTGCTGATTGTCTAAATTCCATATTACTTCGGACTGAGTCTTTCTGCAGATTCCGCTTGCATTTTTGTGCATTCCCCTACCTGTCAGACAATGTTGACAATGGTGTATTCAAAATTAATTTTCTAAATTCTCCGACGACTTTTTCCACATTGATCATATAAAATTCATGCAGCTTGTAACGTGGCAACAAATCTTTCAGGAGATAATCATGAATGATTTCGATGTGATATTCTTCGATTTTCGACGGTATTCCACCTTCATGGCGATGTTTCAAATTTCCATTAAAACAATCAACTGTGAATTGCATAAGAATCGAATCGAGAAAAAAGCCTGGTTTCAGATGTGGTGAATTAACAAGATTATATGTACAATCAGGATGTTCCAATATCAACGAGAAATCGTTTGCAGCATGGTTGTAGACCAAGTCGGTTATTGAAAATGCGCGCCATTCAAGAGCCATTTTGTCAACGAGCTTCTTTATGTGATCGTGGGTGACACCTAGAAAAAAAAAACACAAGACAACGCTACTCCGACTTCTCTGAGATACGATGAGGTTCGCTGCGAGATTAGGTAAAAAGAGGAGGAAGTTTTGTAACAAAAAACTATTTTTCCTACTCGAAAATGTTTTTTTCAGAAATAAGTTCTTTCCCTTAGTTTTTCTCTCAGATTTCAACAAAATATCGTTCGAAACATGCCTGCACCCTCCCCGGTTGCTTACCTTTTCCAAATAATGGATTTAATTCATGATGATCTGTTATTGCATATGATGAATTCGAAACATGATATAATTTTTGTATTGGTGTAAAATGAATCATATTATATCCGCTTTGTTTCGCCACCACCAAGCGTTCTTCCCAATCATCAAACTTCCCAAGAGATTTAGATAATACCGACTGACATGCAATACAATCAATGGGTAACGTCTCACCCTTGCCATCGGGCCACTCGAGTGTCGGTTCAACTAAAAAATATCCATCACCTAAATGAAAACAAGAGAACTGTATAGTCATTGTACTATTAGTGGTGAAAAAATTTCGTTACAGTTGAAATAGACTTATACTTAAAATCCATAAGCTTGTTGAGACAGCGCAGTAGCAGCGGATAATGTCAAAATTGCAGGAAAAACAGAAGTCTTCTTATAAAACATCAACTGTATACCTTTTCTTTGAAAATTTCAGACAAGTTATCGGCAAACCGCGAAATTTACAAACAGTAGAGAGCCCTACTAGTCCTTACCCATCAAGTAAACTACACAAAGAACATAAATAATTCACACTACTATCGGTGCCGAAGTACATTTGCAGGTTGCCATTTTTTTAATAACTCAATACAGTGTAAGATAGAACGTTGCTGTTTTCAGCAATCGAAAACAGACACCCGAAGCTAGTTTTCTACAAGCAAAAATGATTTTTTTAAAAAATTCTTAAAGTGGTTTCTGAGCAGATCTTTGGAAAACCACTTCAGATCTCTGCAAACTACCATATAAATTTATCGATTGTTCTTCATAGACAGATAGTCCAAAGTGTCCTCTCTAAAACAGAAACTAAGCGAACTCTTAGATTTTTGTTTTAAGGCGCGACATCGGATTGCCTGAGAGTCCCCGGATTACTATTTCTTTAGAGGTGGTAATTCCGACAACGAATGCAAACATAGGTAATCGACCACGGTGAACCTCTTGGCCATATTTTTTTTTCAAAAAATCATTTTTGCTTGTGGAAAACTACCCTCGGGTGTTTGTTTTCAATTGCTGAAAACCGCAGCATTCTATCTTACGATGTATTGAGTTATTAAAAAAATGGCAACCTGCACGATATTTTGACGTTGATAGTGGTTTACTAGAGTAGGATTTACAAATAAAAAACTTACTGGCACTCCTTTCGGTTGCTCATTATTGCGAGGATCTAGGGTAGTGCCTGCGGGTGATGACTTTTGGCAACCTATCCCTCGATTTTTTTGTTTTCAACCCATAAAACATTGTAAGCCTATTTGTCAAAACTGAACACGTAATCGAGTCTTTTGCCTTTAAAAGAAAAAGTGTGCAGATGTTATCAGACTCAGAAAAAAATTTTCATTTGTGGAAAAGTGGAAAGCAATAGAAAAGAATAACTTATAGTCTAACCTATTATTTTAACAATAAAAGTCTTTCTGAAAATCTTATGCGATAAAGAAAGACTATTTTTTTCAAAAGAGCGTGCAAGACCTTCTATGATGGTAAGTAATTAGAAATTATTTCTGCGGAAAGTTTCTTTAAGAATCCTAAAATTTTGAGCAAGGCCAAGTATTTCTGTCACTAAATGACAATCTTCCACCAAATGTACGCTTACCTTCAGGTGTTTTTTGATCGTCACATGTGAAATAGTAATGAAATGTCCCTGGAAGATTGCATTCCAGCTCCACATAACGATTCCAATCATCATGTTTCCCATGTGACGGATATTGCCATTCAAGCTCTGTGTATGTATTACGTTCAAATTTTGGTTGTTCCGTTAAAGATGATGAAGATGGGTGATTCGAATATAAACGAACATTTTTCGGCACTAGTTTTGGTACCAAGATGAAACGGATGAGCCATGATTTCTTGCAACAAAATAAACCTTTTGGACCGAGCGGTGGTTCTTGAAGTGTTGGATCAGGTTGATAGATATCTAATGTTATTGTACGAATTTCTTGCTGTTTTGATTCAGAAAATAGCATGACTGTTTCTCGTTAAAATAAATAGAATGAATACATTTTCTGTGAATAAAGAGAAAACACAAGATAGAATATTCAAAAATAACATCATTAGCATAAATGGACAGCAAGAGACGTTTATGAATAACAAATAGGATTTTCTAAGATCAGAAAAAAACATAACTTTCAGAATTCGGTCGAAAAGTTTCATCCCTTCAAACAGAATAACCATATTGTTTCTAACCCCACGAGTATCATTCCCTCGGAAAGTTCTGGATATTTCCAAATATAAGGGAACATTTCAGCATTCGTTACTCTTTTATTTGCTACCTTTTCTACTTTACTGTTTCTCTCTTCTCCTTCTTTACTATTTTCCTACTTCTCTCGTTTTTCCATTGCGCATTCACCGCATGAAAGCCGCTGTATATGCTTTTAGAAAACAATACTGACATCGACTATAATAGCATTTGTCTCATTCTCTTCTCCTTCAATCACGTCACGTTTAAGCATGTGACATAAAATGTGTGATATTACTTGTCTGCATTTATACTGATTTAAAGAAGGTAACCATGAGAAATCCTTGAGCATGTCCTCTCTCGTTATCCAACTGCCGAGCGACATCGGTGCAGATAAAATTGTGGTCGAAAACGTCGTTCAAATATACACTTTACTACATTTTATAATTGCTCTTTATCTGATGTCAAATTGCTTATATATTTCGACTTTGTCGCCAAATACCACTTCACCATTCAAAAGCAATAGAGCAAAATCGTTTCTTCGAAATGAAAGGCCTTTCGAATTTTTCAAGTGTTCAACTGAAGAATTGTAGGCTTAATTCAGCTCTCCTAATTTAATTGAGCTAAACACTCAAGAATAAAGTTAAAAGTTTAAAGAAGAAGCAGGTCGAAACTCAGCACAAAAATGTAAGTATAAACTGGAAACATCTAAAATACAAACAGTTTGCATATCATCTTAAAAAAATAATAACTGACGCGTAAATAAAATAGATATATCTCATTTGCATTGAACTTAAGAAAAACACAGATCACCAAACACACGTGTTCGTCGTATAAAAAGTATACAGAATGTATATCTGTATATAACGTATAAAATATATTACATTGAAAGAACAGAAAAACGATTTCTTCTGCATTCTTCTTGGTGGTAGAGAAAGAAAAGAGAAAAGCGAAAAGAGAAAGAGAAAAGAGATTTGTTTAAAGAAACTTTTCATTCGTTGAGTCTAAACTAAGTTATCAATGCACTTCGTTAAACTGTAATTTCTTCTAGATTTACAATTCTTGTAATATCAAAAGTAATTGGTATTAGTAATAGTATCGTATTAGTTTTCCTGAACTGCTACTTTAAACCGTCTTTAAATGATGTTACAAATCAACAGGATCTATCTTCTAACAGAGATTAATTGCCGTTCCCGTTCTAATCCTTTAAGGTTATTCTGCTAATTGCACGTATTGTCTTATTAAGGTGTGTGTGTGTGGCCCCATTTGGATTTTCGTCTAAGGTTCCCAGTTTGTAGAGGATACTTCGAAGGCTGAGAAAAACTTAATTACTCTAAAAAGTATTGTAAAGTTTTGAACAAGGGACTATTATTAAAAGAATTTCTGTCCATTCTCCATTCATCATAAAAGCTTGGTTCTTGTCTAGATCGATAGAGAAATGTGTAGAGAATATTTAATACGAGAAAATATATCAAAATTTTCGTTCTTTCCTTCCTGTTATTGACTAATTAGCACTAATTAAGGTTAATTTAACCTACTCTACTAACTTTAAATAAGGGGCTTGAAGTTTTTTGTGCCCGGAATTAAGACAGATTTGTGCACGTTTAAGACTTTTTGTGTTTGTGCTCGGGCCGGGCCGGGCACAAAAAAATCTTTTGACACTTTTGTGCCCGGTTTTAATTAGATTAGAAATAATAATGAGAAAGGTTATTATCACCATTTATTCACTGACATGGTGACAGAAATAGACAGAACAGCGAGAATATGTAAGCATAACAGCTAAACACCAGACAACGCATTTCCTACTTTTCTTCGTCTTCCGCGTCATTTCCGGGAATTTGTAATTTTCTTGGGTCTTTTACAATATAATAACCCAAACATCATTAAACCACCAGCATACGATTTCAAATTTGATCTACATGAACAAGTCATTGTAATTGTAATAAGTCGGTCAGCTTTGATCCATTGAGAAAAACTGTTCCATTGTGTCCATGGTAACGTAGAATATTCTTGTAACCATAACATAGAACTGTATGGGTGATTAAATGTTGATGGAACAACATATGAATCACCATACCAATGTAATATTGTCTTCTTATGAAAACTTTATAACCATGTTAAAGCCTTTTTCTTGCGCAACACTCAGAACTGGAAATGTGTGAAATGGTTCTTCAGTTGATTTCGATGACTATTCAGATAGCATTTGTTGCAATGTTGGTAAAACTGAAGGGAAATTTAATTTTGCTCTGACGAGGGAACCTCCCCAGGTGATAAATCGCTTTTTGATCGACATTTAGTGGGTTATAGATTATCGACCATGCTGATTCCGAATATGACTTCCCCATAGCTTTTAGAAGATCCAGTCTTCTGGAAAACCAGTTTTTCAAAAATCCCAAAAAATAATCCAAGCCTTTCTTAATAATGCAGGCTTGTAGCGTTCTCATCAGATCTCCATTTTGTTAATAACAATGCAGCTCGTTTGAGAAACACCGGATCACTGAATGATAACTGTAAAGTATGAATTTCTTCATCAATAAGTTTCCATTTATGTTCAGGAACCATTTTTCGATGTTGGCGCATTTTCAAAATTGCATTTTTGTGCCCGGACTGGCACAAAAAGCCTTAAACGGGCACAAATCTGTCTTAATTCCATGCACAAGAAAATCTTCGTCCAAAATAAGGAGATCGGTTAGCTTAAGAGTTATAGAATCCAATTCATTCATTAGAATTATTTTATAACAGCCCCGTGCTCAAAAACTAACAACATTTTTTTAAGTAATTAATTTTTTTCACAGCCAGACACTATCATTAAGCCGAAAAAACTTCAGAACATATACTTCGAAGTGTCCTCGACAAACTGGGAAAATATAACAAAAAAAATTCAAAACTAAAAAATTTTTCTAATTTTTGGCTAGGTGAAAATATTTTTATAACACCTTGAACCAAATGTCGCTCGAAGGAAGCATTTTCAAGGAAAAGTGTGGATGTAAAAGTTGTTCAGAACCAGATTCCCTGAAATATGAACGAGGGATTTTTCATATTAGTAGTAGATGAGACAACGCCAGAATTCAAGCAGATAGAAGACATAGGGTACATTACGAGGAGCTGATATGACTGTTTGAAATCTTTCTCTGAGATACAACATCTTGCTTGCAGAGATTACTCTAGGGCCAGCTTAAATATCTAAACTTTCTGTCATCCATCAATAACTGGTATTTTCTTGTTTTACGATAGTATCTCCATTACGTCTTCATTAATTTCTTCTTTCCCTACTAACTCTGATAATATCATTTCTAACTTTTAACGGCTGAACTTCGATGGATAGTTATCTAAGTGTATGTAAACATCTGTGCCCAATTTCTTCTGAACTATACTCATATGAGCGACCACATCTATTACAACGACTTTTCCTTCTTTGTCTGCTTGTATAAGAACGATATTAGTATCTGATTTTAACTGTTTGTGAAAACTGATCAAAACTGGTTGTTCATCATTATTGATCGTCCTGCTTACCAGATTCATTCAAGAGACTGGTGGGAGACACTTACAAATTAGAAGAACCCAAGTAGTTAGAATGTTTTGAAAGAATCAAATAGAATAGTTTCTCGAGGCTGGTGGATATTAGTTTGTCGGAAAAAGTTCTGAAGCATTCAAATAAAGGCATTTGGAACGGGTTTACAGTAGTACAATGTAATTACGAGTACTTTCACGTATATTAGAATGTAGAACGCATGTAAAGAGCAGCATGAATATTTCATGAATGTGAAGACGTGAAACGTAATGACAAACGGTCTATCTTATAAAGCAGAGATGTAGTTTGTACTATATAGAAAGAAAAAAAAACATCATGAAGACAAATGACACGAACTATTATGCTTCTTTTACTGTTTGATTTTCTTCTTGTCACTTTATCACAATGTTTCTACATACATATATTGTAATAACCGATTCGTACACTTATTTGTAAACGAAGTTTACAATGTTTGTAAGGTTTCTCATATTGGTTTCAACGGTTGATGGTTATTATTGTTTGTACAAAATAAATCGTCTATATTCATCTTTCGGTCATGCCCAATACAACTGTTTATATTATCATGGGGCAAGAGCTGCACAAAATGGCGTCATCATCCATGCTCGTCGAATACTGTTTTTCTTCAACACAATCAAAAGTGGTAAATAAATCTAAAATAGTAGACCGATTAAATTTATGGATATACATCGATCAAAAATAATACGTGAAAATGTATATGAATGGTCTGCACCCATCAATATGATTGAACAATATTAGATTTATCATAAAACAATAAATTATGCCTTATTTTAGACGCTTGATAGCTAGGTATATTGGAACTGTAGTAAAACATTATAATTCAATTTATAAGGGACTATCAGAGCAAGTGAAAACTCTTCAATATATTCGAGTCAACGAAAAAATTGTAAAATTTGGTATATGTCACTAAGGAATGAACCCATATGGAGAATCATGAGAATATGAATTTCAAGATTTTGAAAATTACACTATATTTCAGTAGTATTCTATGGATGATATTTCGCTTCGAAATCAGTGTTATTTTATCTATTATTCTACCCTCGTCTTTTCCTTTGTCTTGAATCAAACCAAGCATATAAAAAACAAATACTTTTTTGGGCATTTCGCGAATGTAATTTAGAATATTCCATATAGAATATCAAATTGTATTTTTCGATAGATAATGTAGGTTTTCTGTTTCCTCAAAAAGAGATAAGAAAGAAGAAACTTTTGCTTGTATAAGGTAGTGTTGGCAATATATAAGAACAAGCTTGTTACATTATATGTAACCGATACAAAGTAATTAAAACCTTGTTTTACTTCTATTTTCTATCAATTCGTTCAAATGTTGAGTTATAAAACATGATATCTTCCACTTTCATTATTCGAATTCTCGCAATCATTTGTATCCCATATGTATGTTCCAACAGTACTAATGTAAACACTATCAAAGACAGCAATACAAATGGAGGTATCTTTACCGTAGACGTTTCAACAACAAATATTGGGCGGATAAACTATGAGGACGGCGAAGTTATTATATCACAAAATCAAAAGAACAAAAAACACTTTTTCTTTACTCCATTTCCTCAGATTGAACCGAATATGACTGAGTGTAATTATAACGAGCTCAGCGGCCACATGGAATTATCTCTGTTTGTACGCTTATATACTGCTCATTTACGCGATGCTATCAGTGCTTATTTAAAACAACATCAGAATACTTGGTGCAGCGAACATTGTGACGTATCACTTCTGCCAACAGAATCAATACGAATCGTTCAAAAAGGTCTTCGTACAAATGAAACAAAACAAAAATATACTCTCGATGATGAATGGCGTAGCAACACGATCCTACCTCAAACAGTTGAGTTTCTGATTTATTCAATAAATCAAAGTTTATGCGAACAACTGAAAAAGTCCATTACAACGAAATGTCGAGTACCAAATTTCGAAGTACAATACAGTTTGCACGGGCAACGGTCCGTTGAAAAGCATCTCGAAATCACAACCTCTCATATAACCAGTACAGAGATGTATAATAATATTCAGTCACAATTGTTGTCTGGTAGTAAAACTGTTAATGAAATTGCTTTGACTGGTACTGACTTTAAAAACTTACTTACAGAAACAATGGACCGCGTTACTATATCACTACGCGTTCAAGAGGGCTACGAAGGTCTAAGCGATCCGGTAAAAATTGATAAAATACTAGAAAGACAATTATCAAGTCGACAGCATTATTTAGAAGACATTAATGATAAACTTTGGGATAGTTTGTATTGGACGAAAGATTTAACACGTCCCGATCGTCTATCGAAAATATTGAATAAAGTTGTACGTCAAGATTCGTCAAACACAGACGAATTTCAGTTTGATGAACATGTAGCAGATGAAGAAACAAAAAGAAAATTAAAATTACATGATAAAGCGAAATTCGATCATTTTCGAAGAGAATTTTTGAAACGCTCTCATGTACGCAAGAATGAACATGAACAACAACGATCGAGTGATTCCAGTGGTAAATTTGGTTTTATGGGTTTCAGTCTCGGAGGTGGAAGCAAATCGATTTCACGTTCATCAGGTAAATCATCCGATAACGAAAAGCTAGAAACGGACAATGAAGATCATTTACAAACGAATACGGATAACTTAAATGACGTGAATAATGAAAATAAAAACAAAACAATAAGTACACTTGAACGACATGTTGTGCAAGAACTACTAGGAAAAGTATCTGATCATATTTTATTAGAAGGTGATATGATTAAACCAAAACCAATATCTGTTAATTTAATTAAGCTTGGTACCCTCAAATCTGATAGTAAGTTATTCTCAAGTTCCGTTCTAATTAAAGCACGAACGCAAGTACATACTCTGCCTTTACGATGTCCATCGAATAATGCCCAAATATCAACATCAGACCACAATAACAACAACTGGTTATCGGAAAAAGTTGCTATTTTAACAACGACTGTTACTAACCTTACAAATATAATTCAGAAATTAAAAGATGAGACATCGCACAGAGAAGCAGTTAGTAATTTAGAAGCAAAATTTAATAGATTGGAAACTGAAGTTAAGAGGTTGAAAACAAACACAGAAAGCCAATTGAGTACATTTAGATCATCGATGACTGAAAACGTAGCTGTGCCTAAAGGAACAATTATGTTATGGTAAGGATGTTAACAGTTGAACATTATGTTCAACTGGCATGATCACTTTAGGGATGGTGATACGTCGACCGTGCCAGATGACTGGGCAGTGTGTGATGGAACAAATGGTACACCAGATTTAAGAAATAGATATATCATAGGTTCAGGTGAGCATCTTCAACTTTAATACTAGAGGATTTTTTCCATTGATCATCCGCTGATTTGCGAGCAGTGATAGAGTTTATAATAAAACTGAGTATGTATCAAGGACTATTATGAATTTGGACGTCCAAGGGGACCCATGAACGCAACTGTTCCGGCCATTGCAGTCCCCCATAACAGATATAGACAGTTTTTTTAAAAGGTCATGATGAATCAACATTTAGGAGTGGAGAAGTGTCTGCCAGGAGATGGATCGTGAATGATAATGCATCTTTCTTTTAGTAAAGGAGGAGGAAGAAGTTCTATGATATCAGATCTTTTAGTTCAACATCCATCTTCATCTCTGTTTCTTTTCAGTGATCAAGAGTGAACTGGAAAATAAAAGGACTAAAAGACACGAAAATAAGTTAGGCAACTGTTATGGACTCGGACGTCTGTGAGTGTCCATGGACCGAAAGATTTTTTGAGAGGATCGTCCACGGGTGCCCATGGACGTCCATAGACGGAGAATTTACATCCATATCTGTCTCTGGAATGCATGGCTCAAAGCCAGAATGTGTATGTTCTTGTTGTACTGTCAAGGTAGTAACGCTGAAAACAAGCCCGGAACTACAGGCGGCTCATCGGCCATCACACCATCAATATCTGTGCATGACACAGTGTTAACAGAAGCACAAATGCCTAAACACAATCATGGTGGTATGACTGACTCCGAAACTAACAGACACATCTATTACGACCACGATTCAGCACTACATACAATGGTGTCTACTACGACAAGAGGCTCTAGGTGGCTCAGTATGACTGCAGTGGATAGATGTTCTCACTGTCAGCATACACATGCTATCCATCCAAATGGTCAAAATCAACCTCACACACATGGAGCCTCATCGTCTACGATCAGCTTACATCCACCGTTCCATGCACTCTTATATATTATGAAACTCTGACGGAAGATATAGGATTTGACATATACTAGATTTAACTACTTATTTTATACTATTCAAGATTTGACACGAATTATGTGTCACTCAGATATTGTTGATTTTTGTTTGACTTTTTATATTTCTACAATATTTTACTTGTTATTCCCTTGACGTTAGTCAGAGTCATACAAACATAACTGCTTGTATCGCCGTATGAAGAAATCAAAAACTTATTACCTCTTGAGAGAAACAGTGCAGATGGCTGAAACTTGGGGACTATAGATAATCCAGCATGGAGAATCTATTGATAACACGGAAGATCTCCAGAAGGTTTTGGGAAAATAGTTGATTTTCTGCCGATTTTGGGGGTACTACTAAAATACGCTAACATCCACCAACACCCCCAAATTATGGACCTGTTCTTTGTGAATAAAGTAACATCAAACGAAAACAAAAAAAATTGATGTCTTCGAGGATTCTTTACGGCTTTTTCGTTAGGAACACTCACTAACATCCAAAATAATATGCCAGAATAATCGCCATCCTTTTCTGAGCCTATTAGTTCACTTTTGAACCCATAGGAAATCTGATGAGAGCAGTGGTGATCGGACCACTCAGCTTTGGGGACGTGATCCTCCTGTATAATCAAAAATAATTTTTTTATCAATAAAAGTGATTTATAAAGTACAGCAGAAGAACGGCCGTGAAATTCTGAGTTGAAAGTCAGTGGAGTTGCCGACTATACTATAGCGAAGATATTGTTTATACTGGATCTTGTAGAGTGGGAAACGGGCTATAAACTAGCGATATAAGAATTAAAAGAAGATGGTTGTTATTTGAGAAAAAAATATTTTTTGAACAAAATTTGAAATTTTCATTTTTCATACGCTTCACTAAAATTTCTATAGAAGGTCAAAGAAATACAGTAACCACTCCCAACCTTTGTCAAAAATTGCCTGATACTTGATTCTAACTGGAAAATACTCCGCTGAATTACGATTATTTTTAGATCTGGCTTAAAATACGTGTAGGGAACGAACAGAAGCGAAATTCATAAATCACCAAGGATTAAATTTTAGATTTAGGTATCTACTTTCATTTGAGGCCTCTCGCAGCTATCTGCACCTTCCAACAAAAAAGTTATGACGCTTCTGCTAAGAGCCCCATTTTACCCCTTGTTACGCAATAACTCGGCGGCACTTCAACGTTTCGATTTCAAATGCTTAGCATAAGCTCATAGGACAGTAAGCATTGGTCACTGGAAGCATCATCGAAATCGAATGTAAGATAAAAAACGTTTTTTCCTGATGGGGGGGGGCCTTAATAATCATATCAAACTTTGATTTTGTCTCATTTTAGATGACTAAAATAGTCTTCTTAAATTCATATCTTCATGTACAACATTCATTAAAAAAACCAATGGTATTCACCGTCCACTTCAACCATAACTAAAACAATCATTTACTGTGACTCCTACACGCCAGATTCCCATGGTATGAGTTTATTCTTGTCAATTCCATGAACTAAATACATTTATTTACATATGATCCTAATTTCTCCACTCAATCACTACACATACATGGTCATAATTTGTCAAGTCCTTTTGCCAGGACGAAACGCGTCATGGTAGCTTGTCTCACCCTCAAGACTCACCCACCCTTTTTAAATAGATTCTTGTATTATGATACTTTATTGATGCTTATTTACGTTAAAATCGGAATATATAAAATAGTAACAACAGAAAAAAAAGTTATGCGGACAAATTTCCACCGTTGTCAAGTGTGACGTTATAACCTAAAACGTTGTTTACATAGTTAGGATCTGTGTTATTCGGACCATTGTTCCAATCAAGACCCTGGTTTTGTAGTATTTGAGTAGCGCCTGGACCTGAATTATAAGCGCGAAGAGCCCATTCCCAATTTCCATGAAACATGAAAGTTTTTTCCAATTTGGAGATCCCTACAGTATTTCGAATTTTTCTGCGTGAAAACGTGCACTGGGCAGGCTAAGAGAATGATATTCGTGATTAGTGTGAAATTCTCTATCGAATGATGTATAAGAAAATCAAAAATAGTAGTATTCCACCTTTGAATTACGTGCATCTTAAAAAAATTACACGGGCATTTACAAGAGTCAAATTTTTTTACTAACAGATTTGATGATTAGCTAATAGAACGTTAATAAATTTTAATAAAATTTAAATTAGTTCACGCCACGTCTCTCCCTCTAGGCTGTGTTATTTTCGCTTTTCTTCAAGTAATTCGGCAAGTAATTCGCTTGCGTCATGAAGCCGGTGCTTATCATGTCTCAGAGACAATCTGACTTATAGTAACACAAAGTATTAGGCTTTTAATATTAGATGTGAATTCGACAATTATACCATTGGACTATGAGACTTCTGTTTTTAGATATGATTCAGACTGTTAACAGTCAGGCTGTGTTATTTTCGCTTTTCTTGACGTTTTTAACTTTCTTTTATATATTATTCCACTGTTCATTCTCCATCTGTTACACTTTATCACTTAATGTAGCCTATATTATGCATATGGCCTAAAATGGTTCGCCGCTGGCCTTATTATTAACACAATAAAGATCTAAACATAAACGTTTGAAGTAACAGATTCTGAATTAAACACAATTTGTCGGTGGAATATCATTATGAGAAACTTACATGTATATAAACGTTATCCTATACAAAGATAAAATACGATTTTCGTTCATATCGAAAAGATATAAAACGGCTATACTTATTAATTCTCATGAACGCTACTTCTTTTAATATTAGCTCTGTCGAAAAAATATTCAATATTTTCGAAATATGAAAGTTTTTTCAGATTTTGAGATCCTTACAGTATTTTGAATTTTTCTGCGTGAAAAGGTGCACTGGGAAGACTAAGAGGGGGATATTCGTGATCAACAAAATAGTACTCCATTTTCGAATTATGCGCATCTTAAAAAAATTACTCGGACATTTACAAGAGTCCAATTTTTTTTCCAAATTATTTCAGCAACCAACGATCAGAAAGAGATTGGATTTTCACTATCAGATAGTTATGTTTTAGTTCTATTTGGTATGAATATGAAATTTGAATTATGTTGCCTTCTGGTTTCTGAAACCGACCAGTATTTTAGAAAAAGATTAATGAAAGATTTTTCTTTTCTTTCTAAATCTAGAGTTGATGTTTTTCTTGTCCAGTCCACTGCATAGGAAAAAGTATGAGATTTAATTTTTTAGTTTTAAGAATCGAAAAACTGAATTTTACTAATTCAACAGAAAATTATAAGATTTAAGGAAAATTATAAGATTTATTTATAAGAAAAAAGATAAAAAACGTTTTTTCCTGATGGGGGGGGGGGGGGGGGTTAAAAAAAAAGAAAACATTGGTTTTTGGGGATTTTTTTATGAAAAAAATGGGGTGTTTAAATAATAATGCC